AAATTAAAGTAAAAAAGTCTGTAAAGATTAGAACAATAGTACTTAATTGTTGAATACTTATTGCAAACCATAAATAAAGCTCACGACTTTATGAAGATAATAACATAACAGACTTCTTGTGTATTCTTTGGAGAAAAATTGAAGTTAAAAGAAGAAAGAGTAAATGATAAAAGAAGAATTCAAAAGTGGATATTATACATTGAAAGAGCAATAATTGGTTTTATATAAGGAAAAAAATAGATATTGGAAATCATTAAATAGGTTGATTGGAAATAGGAAAAATAAGTAAGAAAAAAATAGTTGTTGGAGATTATTAAATACATATGACTGACAGTTGATTGGAAATAAAAGAATATAGTTGAAAACAAATAGCATTTTAGAAATTAGAGAGTGATAGAATATTAAGATTTATTAAGCACATAATTAAAAAAATGAGAGAATAAGTAATTTTATTAATTATTTTTTACTTGTATATATTATTTTAATTTTTATATATTTTTAATATAATTAATTATATTATAATTATTATAACATTATAAAGTCTCCCTAAATTTGGGACCTCTCCAAATTGGGGGCCTAAAGCCCTTGCTTGGATGGCTTCACCAAAGGGCAACCCTGGTTGCTTTTATCATCAAAGGGTCTATAACCAGCCTGACTTTTGCAGCACAAGCTTCAACAACAAAACCTTATGCATCTCTAATAACTACACCAACATCCCCTGTTTTCTTACTTCTAATCAAATGTGAATTGTAGCAATCTAATTCCAAGTTTTTTTCTCAAATTTGTCATAAGTTGTGGATAACTAAATTATATGATGATATAATTAACACAACAGTCTCTGCTATTGCTTGAAAAAGAAGAAAGAAATCTTTAATATTTATATGAGGTTCATTTTTCTTTTCTTGAAAAATAGTGTTTTCTTTTTTGGCATAACAAAAAATACTATGTTAGTAGTTAATATAAAAATATTTATCTTTTATTTTTATTATATGAAAACAAACATTTTTTATTCTTCAAATGTTTATATGAAGATTGCATCAGATTTCTGATTGCAAATATGATAATTGTAAGCATCTAAAGTATATTGATTCTAACCTACATATACTTTATGTGGGTTACATCTAAAGTATATCT